AAGGGAGGGGATAGAGAGGGGGGGAGGGGAAGGGGGGGAGAGAGAGAAAGGGAGAGAATGCCAAAAAGGAAACATTTTACTAGATAAAAAGATAATGCATTTAAATGTCACAGTAGTCTCATCAAATACCATCCAACCACTTCTACTAGCGCTATGAGAAATAATCATTTTTGTTTAAATCCAGTGGTACTTGGATTGTTGTTTTTTTTTAAATATGTGGTGTTTAAATGCTCTTACTTGGTGGCGTAGATACAAATAAGTGTCAAATCACACCCTTGATTCATCCAGCATTTTGCTCCCACAGTGGCCAGGAAGATGTTTATGGAAAACTAATAAGCAGGACAGAAGGACAACCACACAGCTTCCTGCTGGTGTTTCCTAGCAACTAGCATTGAGATGCTTTGGATATTAGAGGTAATATATAGCCATCATGGACACCAGGCACTGATATCATTCTGATCATGTCATCCCTGATGTTTGCAGAAGTAATATGTTATTTACTGTCTGCATTGGCTAACCAGAAATAATTCTGCATGAGTACTAAGGTGCATGGAATTTCTTCCTATTTAATTAGGTCAGAGCCTCTGGGTGCCATGTAGTTAATATACATAGTCCTTCTGTAGTGACCACAATTGAGACTGGCAACTTGTCATTAAACAAAGCAGCCACTAAGTGCAACCATGACTGTGTTAATGACCTTACTTCATCTTACTTTTCCTCTACAGGTATGCAAAGGTTGTACGTTACTTTTTCATCCCTGTTATAACTCTGAGTGGTTCTGAATGAGGACTACATGTATGCCCATAGACTCTAATTTGAGTGAATATGGGGGGGAGGAAACATTCCACTTGCTGAAATCAAAGGTGGAGGGGGTGGCCATCACTGTCTGAACCTCTCAATGGCTTTTGATTATGAATATAGTTATGTCAGGAGTCTTAGATCAGCAACCCCCAACCTAGGGACCGGTTCTATGGAGAGAGCTTTTTCTTTAGTCTGGAGGTGGAGTGGTTTTGCATGCTGCCTGCATCATGAGGATGGGTCTTTGCTTGTTTGTATGGCCCAGTTTTTGGCATGCTGGGTCCAGTGCCAATCCACGGACTGGGGGTGGGTGGGTTGGGGACTCCTGTCTTAGATGAACTATTGGAAGACATATAGAAGTGACCCTGATCCAATCAATGTCCTTTTCCTTTGGAGAAATTCTGTGGATCTACTTTCTTAAGCACATGGGGGGACTTCATTCTGCACAAATTAATTAGTGTCCCATCAGAACTCCATTCTCCTCTGCATAGATGAGGATAATTTCTTTAAATACTTACTTCTCTCTCTCTCTCTCTCTCTCTCTTTATTGATATTTTTTTTTAAAAAAATTAAAAGGATAAGCAGAAAATTAGGAAAAGAAAGAGGCTCAGAAAGAAGGAAAGCAAGTGCAGAAGGAAAAAGAAAAGAAAAAAAATAAGAAAAATTTGAGCTAGGTGGGTCTTTGGATGCATTGGAACTCTTATATTTTCATTATTATCATCATAAATTTGGCCTAAAACAGGATAAGCAACCAATATAAATGAATTACCTTATCTGAATTGGATTAATGAGGGCTGCTACTACTTTTTAAAATTAGTTTCCCATCAGAACTCCATTCTCCTCTCCATAGACGAGGATTATTTGTTTAATACTTAGTTTGTCAAATACAAGGTCCCAGCACATAGCCTAAAAAGAATGTGTGTAACAAGCTTGCTGAAAGAGGCGAACCACCCCAGAGTCACTTTGCAGAGTGAGATGGGTGCCATATAAATTTAATATATAAACGGTTGCTGAATGAGTGAGTGTTCAAAGGTTTCATGGCTATGGCTATTCCAGCAAAAAGCTAAGACATTAGCAAGCAAGCAAACAAATAAGTAAATATATACATAAATGCAGGGACCTGTAAGAACAAGATGCGCACACATGGAAGAAACTTCAAGCAGAAAAATCAGTGCTCTCCTTTTTTAGTCAATACGAAAGAATAATTGTTTTGCCTTTACTTTTTGGGTGGCACTACTGCATATTGCAAAGAAAAATAAAGTACTAATTGTTACGTTGAGCTCTATTGCTGCATGTTTTAAATGCAAAGTTGAGGCTGTTATATTCTTCAATTTTATCACACAAAAATGTTGTTCTGTATAGCAAACCTTATGTGAAAAAACACTTCTTTAAAAAATATCAAGATTTCAGATGAATGCAAAACTTTTTAAAAATAAATTGAATTGAATTGAATTTATTATATTTCTATGCCGCCCTTTTCCCCGAGGGGACTCAAGGCAGCTCACAACCCAAGTCAAAGGGGGGGGGGGTTACAAGTAAGAAAAAGAACATAAACACAACAATACCACAATTTAAAACACTCAACAACCATACCATTCGAGGGGGGACAAAAAACTCATTAGCCCCAGGCCTCTCGGAACAGCCAGGTTTTAAGGGCTTTGCGGAAGGCCTGGAGGGTGGTGAGGGTCCGAATCTCCACGGGGAGTTCATTCCAGAGGGTCGGAGCAGCCACAGAGAAGGCCCTCCTCCGGGTGGTCGCCAGTCGGCATTGGCCAGTGGATGNAGCATGTAAAGAAGGATGTTGTATTTGTTTTAAATTAAAAATTAAAAAACTTTATTAAAAAAAAGAAAAAAAAAGAAAATAGGCATTCTATCCATTGCATCTGAAACATTTTCACGCAACAGTTATGAAAGTAAAAGAAAGTAGAACATGCTAAAATGAGAAGCAGCTTCTCTAGGTTGGAATGAAATGTTGTTCCATTTTTTCGTACAGGATCTTTTTGCATTGACTGGGGTGGGAAAACAAAGAGCCATATCATCTTTCCTTGGCCAGTGACAGAAGACAGTTCATCAAGACGGCTTCCCCTGTGCAGAGAGATAAAGATGAACTGAAGAGCCTCATGGGAGATTCGATCCTGATCCAGATAATTCCAAGGAGCTGTTCTCCAGGGCTCCATAGCCATTTAACTTGATCATCTTGAAAGAATTGGGAAAGTTAGAGAAGAAGGCCGGGCGAGAGGAGGTGAAGAGTTGGCTGATTTCCATAAATGTCTTATTTTTAGTCTCAGGGATGATGAAATACACATACAGTGCAACCAGAAAGCAGATACCACAGAAGACCAGGTAGCAGAAAGCACCAGCTGACATCTGAGATAGAAACAAGGTTGGGTCAGAAGAGATTAAAAGAAACTGGCACTGGCATTCCCCACTGCCCATCACTTAATCCAGTCTTCCCCATTTGGCGGCCTCTAGATATGTTTAAATTTCAGCTCCCACAATTCCCAATTAGTATGGCAATAAGAACATAGGTTAAGAGAGGGTGAATTGGTCCAATATAGGAAGAAACACCATTAGTACGTTGAATATTTAAAGTTATTTCCCTCTAACAGCTCCTTTACTGCTTTACCAATACAGTTTAAGAAGCTAGGAAATTCTCTTAAATCAAGTCAAATAATTAGTCCATCTCGCTTGGTGTCAATTATAGAGATAATTACAACTATCTGGGAATCACAAGAGGACAGGAGTCTTTTTCCAGCCTTGCTTATTGAATGCCCAGAAATGATGTGCCATGATTGGCTCATTTTTGTTACAAATTCTCTTCTCTGTAACTGAGGATGACTGAGCTCTTGTGATTCCCAAGAAGCTCAGGGAAAATGCCAGCTTTGGAAAGATTGATCTTTGCTTCAGGAGTAACTTGATTGGTGCTCCACTAGTATTTTCAGCTTGGTTAGAATCCAGATAATCTGTTTCGGTCTAGATAATGTATCCTGTCCCCCTATCAGCCCCAGCCAGAATTGTCTATGATGAAGTATGCTTGATATTGCAATTTTACAATGGGGGGGGGGTTCCATTTACTAGTGGGGTTTGGGGCATGATTCTGCACCTAAATGATCTACTCCACCTGTTGACCTATTTAACACTCTCCAACGGCACTTATGCAGGCCAATATACTAAGGAGGCGTTCGTGTGTGAAGCATTATCCTTATCGAGGGAGGCAATCACAGACCTATGTTACCTGCAAGAAGGGAAACACAAAGCCGACAGTGAAGTTCGAGAGCCAGTTGAGGGACCCACCCACAATATAAGCCGATGGCCGATGTGACTGCTTGAAGAGTTCAGCTGTCATCAGAAATGGGACGCCAGCTGTCAGAGAAAGACTGCGCTCAGTACCAAGTAAATTAGTCAGGGTCCTACTTTACCTGACTCTTGGGAGGAAATGTGCTTGAATCAGATTCAAAACCACCCACTGACAAAACTGGGACTGAAGACAGAATTTTGGAGGGAAGGTAATATAATAGCATTGCTCCTCAGCAAGTAGGATTGTCAGCCTAGTTGCTAAGGCAACAGTGATACGGTTATTTTCCTCTTTGTCCCTCCCCCCCCAGCACTTTCACATGTTTGAGCCATCCGTTCAGTAGCTGAAATTACAGAGCACTTTTCAAAGGGCATGAAGTGTCCCAAATTGTTTTACAATTCAGCTTAGTTCCAGACTCAAACATGTAATACAATGCAGGTACCTTTAAGAAAAGTATTGGCCTGGATCCTGACACTATCCTTTGCCCTGGTGCAAAATTACTGCCCTCTTTTATTCAGCCGCAATTTAAACAGCACAACTGCTTTTTTTAGAAGCACAGAGTATTAAAATGGTTGTGGGTCCCCCCCCCCCAAGCCTTAATAAAAAATTCTACCCATGCAGTATTCAGAAAAACCACTGAATGAGCATTGCTTACAGATCACCCAGAGTGGGAAGAGAGATATTTTTATTTTAAAAGTCAGATTCATCATTGTTTGTGAACAATGAGCCATTAAAATCCTAATTAAAGATGTAATTACAGCGAATAAATTCTTGGCCGACAATGAGTTATGGATTTGTTAGAGGCTTCACTAATACATCAATTGGGTAAACCAGCTTCCAGCTCGTCTATCATATTTAGAGTGTTCTGCATTTGCCTCTTGGTTAGCAGCATGCCGAGGAATTGCCTCTACAGCACAAAATAAAGGAACAGCAAAACTCAGAGAGGCAACTTACATTTTGACACTTCAAAAGCAAGGTTTTATGACCTTGTGATATACATTAGTTAAATAAATAAAATGAATGAATGAATGGCAAGATATTTTTGCCTTGTTCTCCTGAATGAAAAGTGGTCTAGAAATATGATAAATAAATACAATGAATGCATGAATGATAAGGCTGGTCATATACATTTCTACATTGTCCTGCTACACCTGATCTTCTGGTAGTCCAAAATTACACAATCAAGGTTACATTATTCCAATGTTAACCAATTCTAAATGCATTTAACAAAATCCGATTTAGGGCAATGCACATAAAAGAAAACTTGTCACTATTCATTCCATCTCTTCAACATACTAATTTATCGAGCATTTTATTAATTCCTTTCTTATTTTTAAGTTTGATGCTAACTGCAATTCTTCTGATGCATGGTAATAGAGAATAAAGCTTTTGGTATCTTTTTATTCCTCAAATACTTTCCCCTGTTCCACAAACCTACCTGGCCCCATGCAAAATCCTGCAATGATCCCAATCACAAAAGCCACACTGATGTAACGCATCCAGGACACACTTGGCTGTAAAAATGACATCCAATTGTTGGGATTTGTTAATGTTCAGTACAAATAGTTATTTTACTCTTAATCACAAAACCCTAAATCTCCTACTCCTACAGTTCTGAATCTGTAGACTCCTAATTATGCAAATTTTATTGTTTCTGTTTGTTTGGAGTGATAGTCAATATTCTGGTGTCCTGGATCTAATTATTCTGTCCTCCTGTTTTGCAACTTGGCTTTTCATATTCTGATTAATATTTCAGAAATGGTAGGATTCCTTTGCATTTTCTCAATTGTGCCCACTTTGATCTTCAGGATGTTTTGCATTCATCCACCAGAGCTTCTTTGTGTTTCTGTTTTAGTTTTAAGATAGAAAAAAGCAGCTTCCACACACAAAAAGTCACTACTGTCACCTCTAAAACCACAGCCTGAAGTGAAAATCAGATTCAAATTAGATTACTTGGTATAATTCTATGCACAAAGATGTTTTTACCTGAAGCACCAGGGAGAGGGTGATGCCAGCACAACAGATGCCCATAAAACAGAAGCCAACTATGAGGAGAGAACGACGTCCCACCTTCTCAATAGTGAAACACTGCAGGAGAAAAGTGGGCACAGGAAGGATGTTGGCTGTTAGGTTTTATGTTTCTACATGCATGTATGTGCTACAAAAGTCTGATCGTTTGGATTTTTAAATTAATGGATTTAATTTGCTCATTTTGAACGCCGGCACATATTTTTTCCACATTCTACTCTTCTCTGAATTTTGCAACAGAGCTGTCAAATTTAAAAATGTATATAGAAATGCATAGATTTTGGAAATATATATCCAAAAGAAAATTGCATGCAAACATGTATCTATTAAAGAATATTGCATTAAAAAAATAAAAGGACATTTTCTTGGAAATTAAATTATACAACTTTTTGGGAGGCATTGTTACATTTAGTAGCGAAAGGACATGAATACTGACTGCATCAACAAAATTTACATTGATACGGAACTCACCAGGCTAGCATACTGGGAAGATACAACAATGCTACACAGAATTATTGCTAAAGAGTAAATGGGAAAAAATACAATTTTGTGCCATGCAAGAGCTAGAATACCAGCGTCTAAAATTCTACTTTGTCCCCCTATAGCTTGGTAGATACCAAGATCCTTTAAAAGAACAATAGGACCACTGAATCTCCTGAATGAAATATTCTAGGATCCAATATGCTTACTCCCTTAAGTATAATGCACTAGAATCAGGTGGGAAGAGAAGATTTAATTGAGGAAGTAGAAATGAAAGCAACATTAGACTATTTAACACTAGAGTTCTTTATTTTAAGGGAAACTGAGCATGGTCCTGTGTGTATCTTAGATTCCAAAAAAGTATACTTTAATAAACTCAAAGCAATTATAACTAGGATCCCATGACAGGAGAACTAATGTAAAAAGAATCTCTGGAGGGAAGAAGTTCTAAAGTATCTAAAGTAAGAAAGACTGCAAACAATTCCAATAAGTGAAATAATGGACAGCAGAAGCAGCAAATGTGACTAGTGAAAATAGTCAGGAAATAGAAAATGGGACAGATCACAAAGAAATGGATAGCTAATCCAGAACTAAGGGCTAGTGTTAACTAAGAAAAATCTCAGATTGAAATAAGATTAGGGGAGGATTCTAAAACTAACCAAAAAGGTTTCTTTAGNTCCAGCTGTTCGTCTGCCTCACTGATGTCTGACTCTGAAGGCAACTGATAAATGGCATATGGCCCTGGACCCCTCTTTGCCTCTGACACAGAGCCCTCATCAGAGCCTTCTCCAGACTCCAGGACTGCCCCATGTTCTCCCAACTTCCTCACTGTCTGAATCTGCTGCCAGCTCTGCTGGCCACTGGCAGGCCACAACGTGTTCATTTTAAATAGCTTCGGCAGAAATAATATTAGATTTAGGGTTAGCAATAGTTATGACCATAGCAATTCATGCTACAAAAGGTTGAAGCTCACCAGTTTTCAGTAGTGGATGCTAGGTGGTTGGCAAGAAGACAGATGGAGTGTTATCTGTTTTGAACCTTAGCATGATGTCAAGTTGGAGAGGCCTTGATTTTGATACTCATATCCTTCTACCCATTTCCCAAGGAATTCACCAAACTCTTTCCTTGCTTTCCTACAATAAATAAGAATCCCACCATCTTCTAACCTTCTTACTGTGGCAAAATAGGGGACAGTGATGGGGTCAAAGGGACTTGTGCCAAGCTGTTTTTCTGCCAGCTCAGAGAGTGGTGGATAGTGCTTTAACTCAGCTGTTAGAAGTGTTATCGCAGAGGCAGGTTAGCGATTGTCAATGGGACTGTTATTCTATGCTGGCATTGTTTTGTCGTGTCTCAGAAATGGGTGGATAGTACTTTAACATAGCCAAGTGCTGAACCTGAAAGACTCCCCATTCTAGGTAACAGGTTGTGGAAACCATGTTATTTCTTCAGTATTGCAAAGATCCCTTATTGCTCTGCTCTGCATAACTCTCAAACTGATAGCTTGAATAAGAGCAAAGTGTAGTTCTGCTTGAAGCAAGAGACTAGGCAAATGTACTAAGGAACTCAGATTTATGCAACCAGGTTTTATTGTTCAGCGTCCATTTGAGGTAACTGACCAATAGGGACATCTAGTGGTCACTCATTGCAAAATCTTCCAGTCAGCAAGAAGAAGAAAAGTTAGAACAACCTTACACATTGTTTTTTTCTGGGTGAAATGTGACATACAGTATTTTTATTACTCTGGTATCTATGAAGTTCAGATCTGGCTGAAACCAAACATAAAGCCTCAAATTATCAGTTCTTTATTTAAAATATTTTCATTTCCAACTTATTTAAATTTAAAAGAGAAGAATAATGTTAGGTTCGTGGGATATTAGCATTCTTTTCCCACCCAGTAATATTTTTTTTTAATCATCTAAATTCAATGTTATATTTGTTTGAATAACAGAATAATCTATATTTCTCCATTCTATGGATTTATTTTATGCCAAGCCCTTTAATGCTAAGGCCAATTGCCTCTAGTCATTGGCCAAAATACAATGGTAAGGAAAGTCATGCCTCAGAAGATCTTGGCAGATTTTAAATGCCATGCAGCAAAATGGACACTTACTTAATTACGGCACCTTCTACACAGCTGCTAACGTCTCCTCTGAAACCATAACCAACTTCTGAGTGTCCTCACTTGTCCCATTGAATGTCAGGTCTGACCAATTGTGAAGCACTAAAAAGTGGCTGCTATCTGATATCTCACGTCTTCTTTTTATGGAAGGAAAGGAGGAAAGGAGGAAGGTCAACCAGTCCATGGTCACTGCATGGGGAGAACAAAATTGCCCCTTACAGCAATTACAGAACAATCATTATTTTAAATATTTGTATTTCTACTTTGTCTTTAACAGCTTGTTTTGCTTATTTGTGCATGGACTACATGCAGTATGCAGTATGTGTTCTCTTAAAAAAAAAAAAGTACACAGCTATAACTCTGCCTTGCTGTAGGTCAGTGTTTCTCAACCTTGGCAACTTGAAGATGTCTGGACTTCAACTCCCAGAATTCCCCAGCCAGCGAATGCATTCGCTGGCTGGGGAATTCTG